TTTAACCTATACTGAGAAATATGACAAAAGAAGAGTTTTTCCATACTAAAAGTTAAATATGATATTAAAGAAAGTCAGTCATGCATGCTATTGAGAATGTCTATAATTTCTTTTACAGAATTATGGAAGATTCAGACTAGATGTGGAAATATTTTTCTGAATTTTTTTTGTATTTCCTCGGACTTAACCTTTTCTCGAAATTGGAGTTTTTATGAAATGAACTCTCATGGCTAATGGCTGAACAGTTATAAATGAATGATTATGTTGTAACACATATGAATTGATGGTTTTGTTATGAGTCTTTCAGATTAACTTCTTAAAATGTTCCACCACAGCAGTCTTATAAATTCTGTTTAATTACATCTGTAAATATCATGTGCGGCATAGCATCCAATAAAGAAAAATCAAATTGTAAAAAAAAAAAAAAAAAAAAAAAAGAATGGGAAGAATGAAAATTTAATTCACGAGAAGAAAAAGAGAGACAAGAAAAGAACGAGGAGGGAAAGAGAGCCCAATGGGTCTCTGCTTTCATGGCACAGTTGTACAGAATAAGGTAAAAGGCAAAGCCCTCTTTCTTTTTACATCTAATGCTTGGGAACTTCTTGGGAATAAGATGGAAGTAGACCATAGACGAAATAGCATTGGTGCTTTGTATCCAAGGGTTCTGCATCCACAGACTCCACCAAACATGGATGGAAAATATACTATTCTTGGGATGTGAAACCCACGGAGACAGAGGGCTGGCTTTTCACATCCTTGGAATGTGTATTTTCAGTACTGACTGCAGGACTGGAGCACACAGGAGACTTTGGTACTGCTGGGGTCCTGGAGCCGATTCCCCATGAATACCAAGTAATGACTGTACCAGTCCCTCTCTGACATCTCTCATTGGGTTCCTGTGGCTTGCTGAATGAGTTGGAAGCACAATACCTGGCATGGAGTCCAGGGAGGAACTGGGAAGGAACCCTGACACGGAGCTTGTGCTCACCTCATACTCCTCCTTGAAGCCGTAGCCCTCAGCACACTTCATCTGTGTGATGTGTTGAAGGAGGTCTGCCACGCGGATGGCGGGGTGCAGCTGCCCAGTCTGGTATGGCACGTCGGCCGGCTCACGCTTTTTGTAGGTATGGGACTGCACGAGGCTGCTGGTGTCACTTGCCATAGTGTGGGTTTCATCTAGGAGAAGAAGGCCAGGGAGAAAATGAGGGAGAGCCAGTGAGCTAAGTTGGCTTCACTGAGACGGTGCTAAGAAGTTGGCCGCTGGCATCCCCTCAACCTAGGGCTGCAAATTCCCTACGATGGCTCAGCAGAAAAGAAAAGTTAAATGTTTAGAAATTTAAATGGGGTTGGCAATACTGACAGGAATGCGCAGAAGTCTTGTTGTTACAAAGCAGTCCAAACGATATATCGCTTTCACAAAGCTCATCAATAAAAGCCCTTTAGGCTTTCAGTGCTAAAGTTTGTGGAAGTTTCAGTCTGAAACTTCATCAAGACTTGGTGCATAACCAGTCTTGTATTCTTCCAAACATTAGTTAACTAGTGTGTATGATGAAATAAATAAACTCTGCACAAATGTTCTGTGAGCAAAATAAAAGTGCACAAAATGGTTTTGCATATAAAGCTAGCAATGGAAATGTGGACTTAATACATGGAATCAAAGAGCAGAAAAATAAAAGGGAACTTGGTTTGGGGATAACATTTTGATGAGTCACTTTGCATGCTCTGGTATCAGAAAGCTTGACAAACTATGTGGACCAACATATCACACATGGAATGTTCTACAGTAGCAAACATGCAGGCCAGCACAGGGCAGACCAGCTGGCTTCATCAGATTCTACTGGTAAGACACACACTCCCACTCCCTCCGCAAATTTTCCATGGGGCAAATCGGGGAACTTACCATTTATTGGCACTTTTAAGAAGATACATATCAGGAGAAAAAAGGAGGAGAAAAAGGAAACAGGGCATAAGCAATAGTACTGCGTGAATAGTTACAGGTAGTTTTTATTTTGTGCTTTAATTGTCCAGTTAAGTTTTCTATTCAGAAGTAGTCAGAGGGCGAAGCCTCAATTCTCCCATCATGTTAGGATGGAGGTGTTTAAGTACTCAATAACAAAAAGGAGGCTAAAATTAGTATCATAATTGCTTTTCATCCCCCATGAACCAAGTAATGACTAAATAAGTCTTATTTATATTCAACACATTTTCTCATTTAAATTTCTTGAACAAGTCAACCAAATTGTACTACAAAATTAATGTCAAAATTTGGTCAAATAAGCCTAAAGAGGCTATATTTTAATGAAAGACTACTAGTAAATTAGGTTAATGAACTGCAGAAATGGTAGCTATTAAAAATGTCTTATGCAGGAAAGGGCTATTAGATTAAGAATTTCATATTCCACAGGTTAACTCATTATAATGCTGAATCCCTTTAGCTGTTTTATGATTGAGGATGGGTATTAGCAAAATATAATGCTGAAATCACTTAAAATGAGAATATTTTATCAAAATTGATTTTAGGTATAAAGAATTAAAACATATAAAGGACATAATATTCAATTTTAAAAAATTACCACAGTGTATACGGATAGGGAATTCAGCAATAGTTATTTACATTTTTTTTAAGTGACAAATTCAGCTCTGAAAGAAATTTAGTCCAAGGGTGCTTGGTCAGCGGGGCCTAGTTGTGAAACCTCACTTCTGCCTGCATTGCAAAGCATCTGGGGATGCATGGTATGAAAGGTGGTACACAAGTGTGTAGCTATGTTGCTGTTGCTGAAATGGCACCTGGATCACTACAAGGTGGCTAAAGACAAAGACAAAATAAAAAAGGGTGATTTTGATTTTATGATTTTTTTCATTTGGATTTGCTTTGAAATTTAGAAATTCATAGGTTCCCATTTTATTTTAACAATCACAAATAAACCTGAAGATTTTCACATTTGCTTGCTGGCAAGTGCCAAGCTTTATAAACTGGGATACAGAAACCCTGCTGAAATACTGAGTCCCTTGAGCTTTTAGTTACTCCAGCAGGAAGTTCTGTTCTTTATACTAAAATAAATGGAACATTAATTAGTTTCCCCTCTGTGCCTCTCTTATTCTCTTAGTTTTGTACCTTGTGGGATGAACATAATTAATAAGGCTTCCATTGTGGGCTGAACTTCTAAACTTCCCTTAAATGACTTGGGCCTTCCACATAGATACACCAGCAACCTAGCAATGCTCTGATCCCAGGGCTAGGTATTCTTGGAAGTTTTAAGTCCACAAAGCTACAACCTTTGTCATTGTTGTATATAATCATCCTATGTTTCATTATGCCATCTTGGCCTCATTACTAGCATGGAACACATCTTAAAGCATTTAAACACTACCAAGCCCATCTAAGAAAAGAGCACTATTATCTAGTACACACATATGGAAGAGGGAATAGAAGGTTTCTCATGTAATATCTGTTATGAAACTGGGTCACTATACTACCAGAAATTCTTAATTTCACTAAAATTAGAGATTAATCAGTTGTTTCTAACTTCTTAAAAAAGAAGTATTACTGATAAAATATATCATCTGTCATTAATTTCTGTTATGTATTAAAAAAATTACCCACCAACAATTTTTAAAATTAAAAATGATGCCTATAATCGTTTGTATACCTAACCCTGAATTATACGCCACATCTTTATATTAAAAAATAAAAAAATAAAAATGATGCCTAAAAAGAAATTAGAAATAAAGCTTCTCACTAATAGTTTTGATGGTTTTCTAAGAACTGAAAATTCTCTCTATATTTTTAAATGAATTATCTTAAATTTTTAACAAAACAGCTGAAAAACCTTAAATTGAATAAGTAGATGCGAAATTTCTTAGATGTGGAGGGGATTCTATCTATCCATCCACCCACCCACCCGACCACCCATCTATATTTTTGCAAGCAAATGAAGTAAAGATGCATTTCAACTCTGTACATTAGGGTGGGGCACCTTAGCATGAGAGAGGTGAAGCTGAAAATGTAGAGACTTTAATTGTGCCATGCTCTGACTCCCAACAAAACACTGGTTCTCATCTTAAAGTAAATGCTATTAGCCTTCAAAAGTGCCAGGGTAGATATACAGCTTATCCTCCTTAGTTTCAAGTAATAAACTCACCAATCCTTATGATGCAATACATAAATTCACACTGGCACCAAGTAATGTGTGAGGAACACAGCTTCCAAGTATCACCATTTGTGACAGTGGTATCCACATAAGCTACACATGGTAACAGTTCTTGGTGTATTTGGCTAACTTATTTTTCACAATGTGCATCATTTTTGCTGCTTGAATTGTCTGTTCAAGTGATTCTCAGTAAAGAAGCCAAGCAACTTTAAAAGATTGTCATTAATGTTCATAATAACAAAGCATCGACTTTAAAAAATGATATTTGTTTAATAAGCTTATCTTAATCCTGCTGGGAAATCTGAACATTTTCTTCCTTCTGACAATGCATGTCTCAGCCCTCCCCATTCACACAGCTCCCCCAAGGTCAGAACATCTACTAGAGGAACCTCGGAATGAATGCCACATCACACAAAGAAATTGCAAATCTTCACCTATCAAAAGATTCTGCAAATGTCATTTGCATGTAGATTACATTGTGCTGGTGCCTAAGATTAGCCTGTACCCCTCATATATGAAAAAAATAAAAATGCAGCTTGCTTTCTCTTACAGTTGGCATTAAAAGGTGAAGTGGGGCTAGTGGCTTTGTTAGTTCTCAAAATGATGCAAAATTGAAAATTTCTGTTTTATGTCCATTCTTCAACTTCTATCTTAGTCCATTTTCCTCCTTAGGCAACAAATTTGCTTAAATCCAGAGAATACCATAAAGAAAATAAAAATTACCCTTCATATAAAAATCATCACAACTTAGAGAAAAGAGAAGCACAGGGGGAAAAAACTATGCTGCAAAGATATAAACCCTTGTAAAGAGAATTAGGAAGGAGAAGTTGAACAACTGAAGATGGAACTCTTGCTACAATGAATTGTTATATACCTTGAAGTTGTTTTTGTTGTGCTCCTTTTCGGTAAGGTTAGTAGTAGAAAGAGAATACAGCCGTGATACACTCGGGTTATTTATGCGTCTCAAATGCAACAGCAGCTCATGCTTGTTTGGTTATCACAGCCAGGTAATGCCATTTTTTTCTCCTCACCCTTCTTATATTGGACAAACGGAATTTTTTTCTGTAACCCCCTGCTGGGAATATTTCATACTTTAAATGCATTCTGCCCCACTGGGCTAACATTTTAGTTCATTTTTCATGACATCTGACACATAATAAACCATATGATTATAAAGTGCCATCTTGTCATTTCACTTTTCAGATCATCAGCTCCTCTGAAATTCCAATGTGTGACAGACACTTTGAAATGCTAGAGATGGGGAGGATGCCCTGAGCAGCACTGAGGACGGGTAGGGGGCCAAAACTCTATTGTGATAATTTTTCTGCATAACATTTGGCATCATTAGAAAAATGCTATTTTTGAAATTGAAGTTTTTAGTGTATAGCAATAAGTGAAAATAATGAGAAGCTATTTTCACTTTTATGACTATCACATTAGACAGAATTCAACTCTTGGAGGTACACAGCTGAGAGATGACCCCTCGTTTTTTCCCCCTGGGATCAGACCTAACTTTAAATTCTGAGCACAGAAAGGGAGAATACTGGAGCTGGGACTGTTCATTTGAACCTTCTGGTATCATCCCCAACATACACGCAGCAAATGCTTCTTATTAATGGCAACTGTTTAGAGAAGGGCTTTTCTCTTCTAACCCCACCCCACTTCCAGCCACCCACAATCCCCATGTCCTGCTTATAATCACTGCATCATACAGAATTAAAATTTCAATCTCCTACAAAGTGGCCACTGACTTTCTAAATCATTCCTGCAATAAACTGTGGTAAAGGGAAATGTTCTCACCTAAAATTGCAGTTGGCACAAATGGGTCTGTCATACATCGTAAGCAGGTCAATGCAGAGAAAGTAAAAAGAGAAAGAACAGTAAATGATTGATGAAAGGTCTCCCAATTTCTGCACAGAAAGCCGTAGAAAGCACTGGGTTACAACATCACAAATACAGTAAGCTCCTGAAGCATCATGGACAGCACAGTGCGGGCTGACTGCTCATGGGTTAGGAAGAGAGGAAACAATAGAAAAATCTGTTACCTGGGTAATAGGAATTAGGCACCGACGTGCTCAGTGTATTTGTTTTCATTGTAAAGGATGATGGTGAAGACACAGCTGTAAGAAAAAGAAAGGCTGGTCAGTGGCTGTAGAGAGGTAAAACACACTGAACACCACATTTCCATCAGCAACAGTGTTTCATGTTGGTGAAGAATGCCTATAGGAGAAACCTCCAAGACTCACTGATGTCTGCATGGTAAAAATCATCATTCCCGGTTGTTTCTGGGCAGTAACTGTCCCTTAGAAGACAAGCACCCTTTTATCACCTTAAAGACCTTTCTTACCCCACAAATGAAGAGAATCCCCACAACCACAGCCATCATTTCAGATAGAGAAGTTCATCAGGTTTCTATTTTGACTTCTAGACTCTGCTTACAGAATTCTGCTCTCACACTAAACTGAAGTTTACAACTAAAAGTAGAAGAATGTGTTTTCATGAGGCTTTTGGAGAATATTCCAAAATACGTTTCTGTAGTTTGCCAAATCTTCCCCTTCTTCATAATTTGGATATGCAGAGAGCATTCCATGATGGTATGACCTGGCTTATGAAAAATAAAGATGATGCCCCATGTGTGTCTATTAATCTTTTAAATCTTAATTTTTTCTTGGAAATATTCCTCTGAAACACCCAAGATTGAACTAGTACACCTTTTCTTTCTCCCTGTTATCAAGAGGTGTATCTAATAATATCCCTTCCCCTCCTCCCTGCTATGATTTCACTTGAAAATGGATATTTCCTATTTTTAAGAGACTTTTTAAACTCTCTTCAAATGTCTTAACTGATTAGTGTTTTAAAAATACTTTAATTTCATTCAAGTATAAATATTTGAATATACTCAAGGAGGTTAAACTTAAGTATAAATTTTAACTCCTCTGATGTAGTTATATGATCTATTTCATGCTAAGTTTCTGATCAGGACACTAATATGCAGTTATATCATTGCATTTGTGGGAAGCATGACCAAATCCCTGTGGATAATTATTCTGATGACATGGATGACATGTTAATATATTTTAACTCTCCAGAAGCAGTGCCTTTACTTGTGTTTATATTTTTAAAGAATAGAATTAGTAAGTGACAGAATAAGAACCAGAACTCAGAATGTCTATTATTTGAAAGATTTTTATAAAATATAAAAGTATCACATTTATAATGCATATTTATGATAAGTTGCTAAAAAAAGAGAGCAGTTGATAAAAATAAGAGTAAAATGAGTATCATATACCAGGGTCAGTGAGAACAATGCTTCTTTATTATCTGTAGATATCTTCATGTAGTTGGTAAATATGTGCAGAATAGATAAATAACCATGTTTACTTTCACCTTTTTGTTAGAATAAGATATTTAAAAATACTCTCATCTTTTAGCATAAAAATTAAACCCATTCTTACTATCCATAGCTATTTTCCCCTTTCTATAATACATCAAAATAGATGGTAGAACTCATATTTGCTTTTGTAGAGAGATTATTCCCCACTCTCATAAATGTGTTCATAGTTAATTTTTTTTTGAGTCAGTCTCACTCTGTGGTCACCCAGACAGGAGTGCAGTGGCACGTTTATGGCCACCCCAGTGTCTATCTGCTGGGTTCAAGCGATCCTTCTGCCTCAGTCTTCCAAGTAGCTGGAACTATAGGTGTGCACTACCACACCTGGCTGATTTTTTGATATATTGTAGAGATGAGGTCTCACCAAGTTGCCCAGGCTGGTCTTGAACCCCTGGGCTAAGGCAATCCTCTCATCCTGGCCCCCCAAAGAGGCTGGGATTACAGGTTTGAGCCACCGTGCTCGGCCATACTTAATTTTAAAACTTATTTTTCTCACTGTCTCATTTCCAAAAGCTATTAACCTCACAACTTCTAGTACAACCTCCCAACCCTAAAATAATCTCACACATACCCATGCTTGTTATAAGTGTGATGCTGGCAGCCTTGTGGTCCACTGAATACTTTTCCTGAAAGTTTCCTCCTCAGGAACTGCTCTCTTATTATAAATGCATTTAGAGTATTAGGATAAAGTTTACCATCTGGGTCTCTCTGAATGGATGAGACTCAGTGACATCTACTCATTGCTCAAAGAGTGGGAGGAAAATGGAAAGTCTACTGTGGCATTTCTTCTGTTGCTTGCATAAAATAATACCTAATAGCCAGTCATCTGTGGAAGCAATGCCAGCATCTGTAGCAGTTGTCTTTGCATGAACATCTTTGGATTTCCACAGATAGAGTCACTTTTTAAAAAGTAACTGCCAGGCCAGGCTTGGTGGCTCAGCCTGTAATCCCACGCCTTGGGAGGCTGAGGTGAGTGGATTGCCTGAGCCTGCGGGTTCGAGACCCGCCTGGGCAACTTGGCGAGACCTCATCTCTACAATAAATCAAAAATTAGCCAGGTGTGGTAGTGTGCGCCTGTACTTCCAGCTACTTGAAAGGCTGAGGCAGAAGGATAGCCAGAGTCCAGCAGGTTGAGGCTGCAGTGGCCGGGAGTGGCCACTGCACTCCAGTCTGGGCGACAGAGTGAGACTCCAACTCAAAAAAAAAGTAACTGCCAGATTAAACTTCCTGTCCAGAGGCAAATATCCCCTGTTGTTCAAGCTTCAAATGCCTAGAAACTACTAATGGAGCTTTCTGCTCTTTGAATAAGTAATCCCAAGTCAATGTATTCATAAGGAATGTTATGAAATAGAAAGACTGGAACATTAATGAATTATTCTGGAAAGTGAGAACATGTATCTGTGTGGTCCCTCTCATTCTGACATTCAAAGAATAGTTTCTCCAACCCTCTAGGAAGGGTTTCTTCAGCCACATCCCACAACAAATGCATCATAGCTTGCTTTATTTTGGCAGTTGAATGCATTATATATGTGTTTTTAAATGAATAATATAATATCTGCTACACAAAAGCAGAAAGAATTCTATGGAAAACCAGGAAGTAGTTGGTGGTATCCTGAGATACCGTAGCTTCTATTACCTTCACCGAAAATGACAAGAAAGGGTTGAGGATGGAAACAGAACAGGGCTGCCCTGCCCACCAGCACTGATGCTGTGCCTGTGAATGTGTGCTCCGCTGGGCCAGCTGTGTGTGAAGAACAAATGGATGCAGGAGGATAGGGTGGGACCACTGTGGCTACTACAAGCAGGAAAAAATAAGAGACCAAATCCCACGAAGCCAGGCAGCGTGTAGGAGAAATGCAAGGCTCTGGAACAGGCACGTCACTGATCATGCAGCAATCTAGGAGAGGAAGAGTGGAGGGGGCTGCAGACCCAAATGGTCCATGAGCACTCACTGCCCATACATGGTCTGGCGCCCCCACCTGATACTATTTCTGTGCTCCTCACATTCACGTGGTCCACCAGCCTTTAAGTGCATTTTTTGTTTTAGTAACAGTAATAGCTGTACTTTGGTTCCATCCCTGTGCTGACCAGTATCTTGATTCTGCAGCTGGGTCAGTGGCGGTCTGCTGGCATGGATTTCACACAGTAAAGAAACCAACCTTGAATGTGATGACTGCATTGGGAACCACAGAATCAGGCATACACCCTAGATGCAACCCTCCATCTCTGAGAATATCACCAGGGACACAACAACTATTCCTTTTATATTTCATATAATCAACCTAATTGTAAGTTTCCTGAAATAATGCCGATACCTGGATATCATGGGTGGTAGTAGGGGAAGGTATTAGCTGAGCTCTGCTTACCCACCTGGTGTGAAGTGTAAGACTTGCGAAGTTGAAGTACAGTTTAATTTATTAATTGCCACTAATAGTCCTATAATAAAGGCAGAACTTGTCAGCTAAACAAACAATTAACTTGTTACTGCCATTTAGTGAACTGTTTTATAACAGGCTTCTCTTGCGCAATCCCACACCTGGTTAGCTTACAAATGGGGTCTAAACAACAAAAGGATGATGAGAAGCAGGTGCCTTCTTCCTTGAGAGGAGGAAAGGCTTCATGTCACAGCTGTCTAAATCTTTACAGAAACTTCACTGTGGTTTCCTGTGCTCTCTCTCCTGCTATCACCTTCAGAACAACATGTCTGCCATTAGGAGTTTTCAGGATCACTTAAAGTGACTGGAGAAACCAATATGGCATAAGAATTCTTCAGGAAGTGTTTTGTTGTTGTTGTTTCTAAATCCCCAGTACTACCTGGAATCCTGGAAAACAAGAGATGTATTCGAAGATAAAAAATGTATGCACTTACATCTCCCATTTAGATTGTGCGTGTCCATGAATGAGAAAGCTTCATCGCAGTTTGTGCCTTGCTCGGCATAGCTCTTGTCCATTGAGTTCACCATCACAGTCATCTCCTGCCGGGTGCTGCTCATGGTCTCCTTCCGTTTCTTGGCCAATTTCCTTAGGATAAAGAGTTCAATTATGTAGACAAGCATGGAATATGGTGCTCTGGCATGTGTACTGACTGGTATTCAGAAAACACCTCCTAATTAATCCTATTCATTCATAGATTGATGTATGGCACCTTCCATATAAGTACTCTGCCAGGCTGCAGAGTTGAAAAACCTGTGCTATCTATCAACATCATCATCATCAACAACAACAACAACAACCCACAGCCTAAAACATTATGTTTCTTCTGCTATAAGCTAAACTGAAATGACCAACTATCCTAGTACAACAATCATAATCTCCTTATTGTTATACTTCTAGAGTTATTAACTTTCTAACTAAATGATTGTCTATAAAGCCATATACAGTGCCAAAGAGAAGATTCCCGAGTATGCATTTGCCAAACAAAACTGAAATAATCCAAGGATGAATCTAAAAGACATATTGTAAACTAAAGATCAGAACTAGGTAAGGACTCAAACGTGTAAGTGAAGCATGTGCATCGAGGGAACAGATTCTAACTTAGGGCCTGCAAAGGACAGAGGAGCTCAGGCCTCAGAAGAATCGGAGGGCATGTACTGAATTCTCAGAAGCATGACACTGTCCCAAATCCCAAATTAACCCAAATTAGTTCCCCATTAAGGTCTGTCAACTCCTACAGAGCAGAAGGTAAAAAAATGTCCTCTTGCCGGGTTCTCTGGAAAGTTTAGCAAGAGTAAGTCCTCACTGTTCCCTCTTTCAGTGGAAGAGAATGCAAAAAGCAGAGATTTCCAATTCATATGAAGAAAGTGAATTCCAGCCTTTGTCTTTGTGTCTGGCTCATTAACCACCAAAAACTGAACATCTAAAATTACAGATACCTGTTCAAAAGCCTTAAGAACCAAAGGGAAACCAATATAAACAAATAGATCAAACAAATTTTTACAGATGTTACTACCAGAGGTTGTTTTATGCACCCAAGACAGACAAGAATAGATGCCTAAAGAGAAGGCATAAAGTGAGAAGGTTTACTAAGACCATGACTCCATAAGCAAAATTACTATGCCCTAAAATATTCCATTTCTGCCTCAGCACCGAGCAGCATCTATGAAAGAAAATGGCAACACTTTCTAGTAAATCATCTTGACACTGATTGACCTAGGACATAGTAGAATTTAAAATAAGCCACATAATCAAAATCTCACCCATACTAGGTGATTGCTAATGCAATGGAAGGCACTGACAACATTAGACCATATGGATAATCTTTATTATCATTTCTAAATGACATATAATCCAAATGTTTTCTTGCCTGTAGTTACAATAATCTTTTAATTTCATACTTTGAAGGGAGAAGAGTTTCATTAATAAGTTATATCTTTTATTGCTAAAAGTGGGAAAAAAGATACATTTTTAAACAAAAATAGAAATCACCTATAACATCTCTGACAGTGTTAAAATTTAAAAGGTTTTGAAAGGCAAGCTAGTGTGAGTCCTCTGGGCACTGACACCCCTCTTTTGCCATGTGTAGCCTGTGACTGTCTTCTCCAGAGCCTCCCACCTTCCAACCAGCCAGGCTAGTGTGAGAGCCAGAGCCTGAACCTGGGTGTTCTCAGCATGTGTTCTGGGCAGAGGCAGCACTAGGCTCCATCTCTACAGCTGCTCTTACATAATACATTTTCTCTGCTTCTGGATCTGCCAGTTCACTAGAAAAACATGCTTAGGCCAGGTCTCTCCAGGAACACAGACGTGGAGGACTGAGATAATGAGCTCCATAATTCAGGTCCACTTTTGGCTTGAATTTCTTCGATTTACTTTGGACTGATATATGCTGATAATTGTCTCAATATTCTTTTTTGTTCTACCTATAAAGACAGGCAAAGTGAACTTTGCAAGACTTCCCTCTTTGCCTTTTCTTGTTTGAATTCCTCTCATCCTAAAGGTTAGGAAACGACAGCTACTGACTTCTTGTGTGGTTGGTGGGGGAAGTGAGGGGAGCAGGGGATGATAAGCGCTTCAATAAAAGCTATGCCTGTACTGGAAAAAAAATCTTTCTCCTTTCTAATCCTCTGTATGCATGAACTAATTTCAGTGGTGTCACGCTAATCACTTCATTGCTGATCTTCTTTAAGCACAAAAGAAGCCGGTAAAGACTCATGAGAGCATGCTCAAATCATACAGAGGTCCAGTCCTAGACCGCAGCTTTAAATGTATACCCACAAGCACATACTCAATGTCCATGAGCCTCCTAAACCCAGCTCCCAATGTCCTCAGCAAGCCTTCCTGCATTAGCCCTACACTTTAACCACATTTTTACTCTATCAGATATCACAAACACAAACATCTCCCTAAGGCCAGGCAAGTAAGTAAGTGAGGGAAGCCTGTGTAGGGTGATAAGGAATGATGGGGACTGGAGAAATGGAAGGGTGAACAGTAACTCAGCTCTTGCAGATTGATTTCCCATGGAGGAGGTCCTTGTCATTGTAAGTTTCAAGAGAAGCCAGAAATCAAGATTTTATGTCAACTCTTAATTTTAAAGTATTGTCAAATAACTCAAATTTTAAAATAAAACACCATGGGCCCCAATAAAGCATGTTTGCAGGAACTTTTGCTCTCTGTGAATGACAGCATGAGAAATGTCATTATACTGGAATGGAAGGAAGTGAAAATTAACATATAGCGTACAATTACTATATGTTAGCATTCTACATGTGTCATTGCATTTAATGCTAGCAACATTGTAAAAGTTACTCTTACTTCCTATTTTACAGATGAGGAAACTGAGTTTCAGAGAAGTTAAATAACTTGTCCAAATGGTGGAGCTGGATTGGACCTGGTTCCAACCCCAAACGTTTGAATTTTGAGCAATGTGCTATCCCTAGTAACATATCTCATTAATTTACATTGCCTTACAAGTTACATTATAATGATCACCAAATTGCTTTTAAGCATGGATCGTCTATCACCATCAAACTAAATATGCTTTGAAAAAGTTTACTAGTGCCTAGCCAATGCTTTATACAAAGCTGGTAATACTGGGACAAGATGAGAGTGCATGCTGGAAAAATGGTGCTGACAGACTTGCTCCATGTAGGAGCCATAAACCTTCAATCTGAAAAAATCACAATATTTATGAAGCCCAATAAAGCAAAGTACAAAAAAACAAGGTGAGCCTGGACAGCTCAAGTGCTCTTGTCCATAATGACACATGGTTGACATGGTTATATTGATAGCTGAAGCTCAGCTATTAATTGTAGAGAAACAGTAATTTCTTTTTTCTTTTTCTTTCGTGGCTTGTTTCAGATCTGTACTTTTTTTCAAGCGAAAACTTGGAAAACTATCTGAAAAACTTTATGAACTTAACAAAATAAAGTCTTTTGTGCAGGTAAACTCCTAAAGTTGAAACAGTTCTCTTTTCAATCTTATCTAAATTCATTTTCTATTTTGATTTGTAACAAATAGTTTGTCTGAAACACTTTAATCTCCAATCTCCAAACCTGCCCTGCATGAATCTCAAAGGTCTTTAGTACTTGACAAAAAAAAAAACCCAAAAACTTCCTACCAACATCTATAAATAGATCATAAAAATTTGAGAAAGAAGTTGGTGATTTCTAGGCTAGCACAAAAGAAATTTGGAAGTCATCACTCTGTCCTAACAATAAGTCAAAACTGGGAGAACAGAAATCAACACATTTTCTTAGTTCTGTCAGATAACTGAGGCCACAGGGCAAACTATTTCCCCCTAAATAGAGAAACCAAAACGCCCATATAGAGAATCACAACTTACTGGAGGAAACATCCATGAGCAGAAACCTCTGTGATAACCAATACCTGGCCAGGAAAACTTAAACTGCAGTTAACAAATTGCTGGAGGCTCAGTGTGGACAAGTCTGAGAATCAAATGACTATAGAGCATTTCTGTCCCCTCACACCTTACCACCTCATTATCAAAGTCCTATTTACCACCGTTCCTTTAACCCAATACATCAAGCTATCAAGAAAAACCCACAAGGCATATTAAAAGGCAAACAGCATCAGAGCCAGACATGGCAGAGATGCTGAAATAACCAGAGAGAAATGAAAAACAACTATGATTAATATGCTAAAAGTTTTAATGGATAAAACAGACAACATTCAGGAACAGATGGGCAATGTAAGTAGAGAGAGGGAAGGGTCAGAAATCAAAAACTCTGCAACAGAAATCAGGATTGTCTGTCATGGTTCATTAGTAGACTGGATATGGCTGAGGAATCACTGAGCTTCAGGATATCTCAGTAGAAACCCCTAAAGCTGAAAAGCACAGAGAAAAAAGACTGAAAAAATAAACAGAAGAGAATATCCAAAAGCTGTGGGACTTTTTACTCTTATCTTCTGTAAGTTACAAAAAGTATAACTTACATGTGGTAGGAATACCAGAAGGAAAAGAGAGAAAGGAATAGAAGAAATATTTGAAACAATAATAATGAGTAATTCCAACAACTAATGTGACATCAAACCAAAGATCCAGGAATCTCAGAAAACACTAAGTCATAGAAATGCCCCAAAATCTATACCTAGGCATATCATATTCAAACAACAGAAAATCAAAGATGAAGTCTTGAAAGGAGCCAGAGGGGACAAAGACAAAAAAAATAAAACTCAAAACCAAAAAGACAAAAAAACCTTACCTATAGAGGAGCAAGGATAAGAATTATATTGTCCTTCTCCTCAGAAACCATTCAAACAAGAAGAAAGTGAAGTGAAATAGTCAACATGTTGGAGAAAAAGCCACCAACTACAATTTTGTATTTTGCGAAATTATACTTACTTTACCAGATAAATAAAAATTGAGTTCTTCAGAGAGAAGAAAAATGATAGATCAGAAACTTGGGTCTACATATAAAAAGGGACAGCATTAGAGAAAGAATTAGTGAAAATAAAACAAAAACTTTTATTTTTTATTCTTAATTGATCTAGCAGATAAAATTTTGTTTAAAATAATAATAGCAACAAAGTACTTGATGATTATATTTATGGATAAATGAA